GGTGGCCGAGCAGCCGGGTGCGCACCTCGGTGTTGACGCCCTCGCACGTGGACAGGAAGCGGGTCACCTCGTTCATGCACTCGCTGAAGCCGGCGCGGTACTTCCCCAGCACGCTCGGGTCTGTGCTGAGCGCGGCTGCGGGCCAAGAGGACACCGACGGGTCACCGGACGGCCCCGGCCCCATGGCCACTGCCTCCCCGCCCGGGGAGGTCCCTGGAGCGCGCCTCCGTGGCCACGCGCCCGTGAAACTGCCTCCGGCTGGGAGGGTGGGGCGACTTTAGAAAACCCAGCCACCTCGCCTCACCAGCGTGGCGACCGAAGCCGAGACACTCCCTCTCATTCTCTGTCGCTCCATTTAAACCAATCTCAGCCCCAGATATGCCACTCCCACCCCCGCGCGCGGTGTGACCTTGGGCAAAGCCTCCCAATCCATCATCTGAGCCTCATCTCCTCTTCTGGAAAGGGGGGGAATGTGCTAAGCCAGCTGACCCACAGGCTCCACGCGACTCAAAACCGCCACGGTCCTAAGTCCTTTCGTCCTCCCCGCTTCCCCCAGAACCAAGCCGCCCGCCACCCTCGCGGCTACCACCTCTCTCCCTCCCTTTCCGGAACAGTAACAACTTGGAGTTGTGGCTATAAATAAGCCCCAGACCGTGGGAACGCGAGAGTGAGCCAAGGCAGTAAAATGTAGCTGAATGCCTCTCACAACCACGGGCGGAAGTCTGGAAGAAATCACCGCGGGGCGAGAGGGACGCCCGCGGAGGGGGACGCGGCCAGCCGCCCTCACCCGTCATCTGCGCCCGCTGCAGGTTCCGGAGGTGCTTCACTGTCATCTCCAGAATGTCCGCCTTCTCCAGCTTGGAATGCCGCGAGCTCTGCGCAAAAGAGGAGAGAAGAGAGGGAAGTGAGACCCCTGCCAGTCGCTTCGGAGTGCCGGGGATCCCTCTTCCCCGCCGCCGAGCGGATATCCCGGGATCCCCGCGAGGGGGGTCCCGGCTCTCCCGCCCAAGAGAACGCAGTGCGGGCGGGTGGTAGATCCCGCAGGCCAGGGGTTTCAGTTCTTAGTAGATGAGAAATATTACTTTAAGCTAAAAACAAAGGAGCAGTACCGCCTACTTACATCTTTTTTAAGAGCATCCAAAATCAGTGTTTTCAGCTGGCTCAGACTTTCATTTATTCTTGCTCTTCGTCTTTTCTCCATGATCGGCTTTGATGACTGCAAAGAAATAAACACCAAAAAAGGGCCCTGAGTTCCCATGGGAGTTGCCATTTCACCCCGGGGTTTAAAGAGAGAAAGGAGTCTCTCAACCCCTATTTAATTTTTTTTGGGGGGGGGGGGCGAGGGCTGCAGAGAAATACAGGTATTGCCCTTACCTTTCTGTGCTCAGATGCTGTCTTTGGTTTATCCGGTGTCGTGTTGACACTGGCTGGGGTAGCAGCCACCGGGGACGAGTTATTTTTCTCCATTATATCAGCTGGCATCTTTTTTTTTTTTTTTTTTTAATCCCTAGAGAATTTTATTTTTGGAGTCCACGAAAAATTTTTGTTTATGTCCCTTTTACTTGAGACTTTCACAAAACTACTGAGCAAGTGCTGAAGGTTTACTATAATATTTTATGCTACTTGGTGATCGGTAGCGCTATTCCAGGACCAAGGAGAGAGGTAGACGGGGGATTCCGCTGTTATCAGCACCAGCTCCGGATCCTGTGTGATCCCCAAGCCCTGGCGGCCTCTATATATATCTGGGACTGCACGCGAACGGCTCGTGTGAAACTTCCCAAACTTTCTTTCCCACAGTAACTTTCAGCCAATGGGAGGAGGAGACACGCGGCACCGCTCGTGGACCGCGCCCCCCCATTGGCCGCCAGGCACAAGGTCTGGCGGCCAATGGCGCGCGCCTGAGCCCAGGGCACCGGAGGCTACAACGTCAATCAAAATTAACCCTTTGCTACTCTCCCTCTGGGCTTTGCTTTAGAGAGGATTTTTTTTTTTTTTTCTGCTTGGTTTTGGTCTCATCCATTTCTTTTGGGGGCCGGGATCTTTGCTCTTTATTCCCTCTCCTGTAACAGAGCTGCTTTGTCGTGAGAAGTTCATTGGATATATATATATAATTTTTAAAAGGCGTAGAAGAACAGGAATAAAATATATGAGCAGTGGTTAAAAAGAAAAGGGGGTAACTCGTCAAAGATATGAGTTACCGACACATTTAAGTGACTTCCCGCTCAGACTTTATACATTCAGGGGCTGAAATTTTAGATTATTCAGAAGAAGGACCAAAAAATTTGCTTCATGCATACAGAAAAGGAAAATTTGCCTTCCACCTTACGTATGGAGGGTTTTCGGAGCAAGGCTGTCCCTGAATCCCGCCTCCACCCACCTCTTTCCTCAATCCTCTTCTGGAGTTGGGGCCTCGGACCCCGCGCTTCCCCAGGAAACAATCAGAATAATTTCCAACCGGGTAGAAAGGAAATGGAATTTCAAATGAAAAATGAACAAGAGCGGCTTTGATGGCAACAACTCAGGGACGCGCGCGCTCCCCACCCCCCCTCCCTTTCCACCCGCAGGCTCTGGGTTCTGCGGCCTTTCGCGGTGGCGGGCAAGGAAGCAGCCTCTCCCTCCGGGCTCGGCGGGCGGCCGCGGCAGCCAGGGCGCCCGTCGCGCGCGGGCCCTTTAAGAGCTACACCGGCCGAGCTGCAGTTTGACATCAGCCGGCCGGCGAGGGCGAGCCTGGAGCCGGAGCACGTGCCAGGATGTTTTATTGCCGCCGCGGCTGCGGCCGGGCCGGGAGGA